CCGGACAGCGCCAGCGTGCGCAGCATCGGCAGGCCTGCTGGCCAAGCCAGCGACCGACTGCTCGGGTTCAGCGGACCGGGAGTCCGGTCCAGACCGGTTCAGACCGGTTTAGACCGGCTGGACCGATTCAGTCCCAATTTTTACGGTTCAGTCTGTATTTTAAAGTATCAGTCCTGGTTCTTGATTTCGGTACCAATTTCAGTTAAAATTCTGGGTTCATTTCAGTTCGGTAAGTTCATGTCCGATCAGTTCATGTCAGATCAGCTCCGGTTATTCCGGTTAAGTCCAAATATTATGTCGCGTTCAATAGAGCATCTTAACATAATTAATCAGTGAATTTATCAGTCTGAGCATAGTCAGTAGTAATTGTTTATATTATATTTCAGTTTGATCATGCATCAGCGCTACCTTCAGTTTTACAGATCAGGTGGGGACTCAGACTAAGTACTACATTGATTATAATTACGGTACCATGTTTGAGGTATGTATTTCATGTCATGTATCCGCTCGGAATGGTCGCCGGTCCATTCTGGGTTCTAGTGGCCTTAGTCTGCAAACTAGAGTGTGCACATGGTGTCCGGCTTTGCCGGCAGATGAGGTAACGATCATGGTTCACGTTCACGTGATGATATCAGATTCATGTTCATGTTATTACCGGTTTCATGTTCAGGTTATGTATATACCAGGATCATGATATTGTTATTATATTCACTGTTTACTTTAGTATGAGTTTCCACGGGGCACAGTGTTACAGTGCTCACGACCCACTTTTATCATGTTTTTCAGGTCAGGATGTCGGGCCGGGGGCGTGAGATGACGGATGATTCAGGACGTTTATGCATATGACTGTATATATTTTGATAATGCTACGTTTCCGCTGATTTTGATGTTTTGACGAACTTATGTTTTGATCAGACTTTCAGATAATTAATGCTTTCAGTAAACCGTAGATTTTGCTAACAATTAAAATAACGGTTTCTCAGAACAAGTCACGTCTTACGGTAGCACCCCGAATCAGTTTTCGCAAATTAAAAGATTTTATTTCTAAAAGACTTTGCGAAATTACGCACTCTAATTTCACGATAAGGCAGGGTGTTACAAATGGTATCGGAGCACGTTTCTGCATCTCTGAAAAGCTTTGCAGTCAGTAATATTCAGAAAAACGTGAACCGTCATGCTCACGCCTCGCCGACTACAGGTAAGTGCTGATTTATGTTTTCAGTTATAAACATATTACTTTGTCTATGCTCAGAAATTATGGATCAAGACTTAGTTAAGATGCTCGAATCAGGATCAGACTTTAGAATTCAGTATATTTCGATATGACTCTAGAATTCAGTATTTTCTGATATGACTCTAGAGTTCCTCAGGATTCACATCAGTATTTATCGGCCATTTTTGGCAACTCGTCAAGAGATTTATGTGCCTTAGAAATCAGTCAGAATATTATCACGTGTTCGATAATGTTAAACTTTCTCAATGATCAGATGCCGCCCGTAGAGAACCCGATCACCCGGTTTTTCCCCAGGCTAAGGTAGTCGCACAGTTTCGCGACTATCATGCTGAGAAATTTTCCGGGCAGGGAGATCCCCGTATCGTGGACGAGTGGATTCAGAACCTTAGAAGGGGATTAGGTTTGAGAACTCTAGATTTAATTCTAGATTTATTCAAGTCACGTTAGCAACTTGTCAGGAGATTTGCAAATCTTAATAATCACGTTCCTCAGATATTTTCTATTGAAAATTGCCATTTTGCCAATCAATTGGCATATTCCAGGGAGATATTCCTTGAGTTAGATCAAGGAATAGACTCAAAATTCCTAAGTCAGATCAGTAAATCATGTTCATGGCTAAAAGTTTCATGTTAAAGGTTGTTATAATTCTTAAGTCATTGTTGAGGTAACGGTTCCCAGTGTATAAGAGTCAATAGTCCGGGTTACCATGGAGGCTTGAAATAAGAGCCATTCAGCCGGGTATACCATGGAGGTTGGAAGCTGGAACCGGAGTAATATGATTTCCTGTAATAACAACCTTTCAAGTCAGTCATGTCAGGTATTTTATCAATCTTGATATTTCAAGTTATGGTTTCCAAAGATCAAGATCAACTAATTACTTTGTACTTGCGGGACCAGTTGATACTGGAGCAGCCCTATACAGTACAGAGTTATAAATTCATGTTCATGATTTACAGTCTATATTCATGATGTAAGGTCGACGTATAATAGTTGTTCAGCCGGGTTAAATGTGGCGGTCTGATATACAGACCATTCGTCCAAATTTACCTGGAAACTTGAAGTCGCACCTTATCAAGTTAAGTGAATCAGTAAATGTCATGTTCCAAATTCTGAAGCAACTATTAAGTTGTCTCGGGGTAGCTTTCAGCGTTCAGGCAAATATGATCCAGTCATGTCAAGTCACGGTTATCCAGTTATGAGAATATTCAGGCAAGTTATGCCAAAGTCAAAGATAGCTTGTCTAATAAGACAAGACGTATCAGTCATTTCAGGTATAATCAGTGCCTCGATTCTCAAATTTTGAAAATTTGGGAAATCGTAGGAAAGATTAGTTCACGATAGATTTTTCTTGAGGTTAAGTTAAACCTCAAGGAAGGTAAAGATTTGCAGGTACAACGCGAGGAAGA